AAATACGGAAGGAAAATTCCAATATGAACATGGATTTCACAGCAGAAATCTGCAACGAAGCGTTGATAATGGTTGAAGATTTGTGCTTAGAAATCGCGAACAAAGTTCTCAATCAATTGGGAATGCCATCACCGAATCGATCTGCTGCTGCTTCGTTCAATGTAGAATTGCGTCGTGAACAAAATTACAACACGGGTGATCTTTTGTCATATGTGCAATCAAATATTCCTAAGCTAACGCTTGAGCAAAAAGGCATTTACGATCAAATAATGCAAACTGTCAAAAACGGGATTGCAGAATTCTTCTTCTTAGATGCGCCAGGAGGAACTGGTAAAACGTTCCTAATTAGATTGATTCTGGCAGCAATTCGATCCCAAAATGACCTAGCCTTAGTTCTTCNTGCGTGTCCAGCTGCAAAACGATCCATCAGCTGAGATATTCTCACATCAATTGCTGGAAATTGGGAACGGAAAGGTGCCGGTTGATCTGACCTCAGAACGAATTCCGTTGCCTCATAACTTCTGCAATTTAGTGACGTCAAAAGAAGAATTGGTTGAAAAAGTATTTCCCAATATTCAAACCAATTATAAGAATCATGATTGGCTGAGTGAACGAGCTATTCTTGCGGCCAAGAACAAAGACGTCTACGAACTTAACAATACCATTCAGTCTAACATTCACTGTGAGGCAGTCACATACAAGTCCGTCGACACTGTTGTGGAAGCAGATGAAGCGGTTACTTTCCAACAGAATTTTTTAATTCACTCGATCTGCCACAGCAACGCGTGGCCGGGTACAGCTAGTAATAATAATAAATCTTTAAAATTAAAAAAAGAATAATAAGAGTTATATCTGGTTCGGGTAGATTGGATTCATGCCGCAGATTGTTTAAAAAATTAGAAATATTGCCAACTTCAGTTTTAGTACATTTTCTCCTTCTTTTTGTCGTTAAGAACAGAAATTATTTTATAGCTAATATTAATATTTATCATTTCAACACACGTTATAATCACGTTCTACAAATCTATCAGTAGTTCGAAAAGGAGTGCTTTACTCAGGTAGCAAGATTTGTAACCACTTACCTTCAAATATTAAATTGCTATCCAAAGATATTAAAAAGTTCAAACTTTCATTAAAAAGCTATTTCACTGAACTTGCTCTTTATAGTATTGATGAATATTATAAATCAACTTCTCAATGAACACTTTGTCTTGATTGTCTCTCCTACGGATAATATAATTACACAGCTTATGTATCCGCTACAACTGTATCAGTGTTTGTATTATTCTTTGTATTGTATATGACTGCACTAATTTACTTGTATAGTGGTTCTTAGTGTTTTCATTTGTCCTTGTATGGGTTAGGAATGTATATTTTATTATTTTATGTTCAAACATGATTATGAATGTATATTTTATTATTTTATGTTGAAAAATGACAGATTCTATATCCAGTAGGTTCGTTTGACCTTATATGGATTGACAAAATGCAATAAACAAATGAAATGAAATGAAATGTTGCAGTTGCAATGAATGTGTACTCTAACTATAAAAGTAAGTATGAAACGGGTCTTATCATATTGTCACTTGTAGGGGGGTACGCGTGACGAAATTACAGGTTCTACTTCGGATAATTGGATTTATTAACAGCTAAGTTACACGCTCTCTCTTAATTACACCCAAGTACATCCAGATCAGCGCTATAGCTGATTTCCACACTTTCCAGTTCACCATTGTATATGCAACTGTATTCTCTGTCTTCCATGAGACATCTCCTAAAAACGGATCACCACACAGAAACTGTCACTTCAAATCACTCCAATTATTGCACATGATTAAGGTCTTCAATCACCCTTTAAATCTTCACAGGTATTATATTTTAGCGTCCTGTTGCACTGATTTAAGTCCATGATTTATTTAAACCGTCTTGTAGTGCATACACTCATTTATCTCCTTCTCTCCCTCGCACTACACATTTCGGCATAATAATGCCATCCTCAGGTGCTTACTTATCCACGCCAAACTAGTTCACTGCATGCCTTGTTCTCACATTAAAATAACCAAAATATGCATCTATCATATACACTGTCAAACGTTAAAAATATTAAAACTGTTCAGGATACCACATCACTACGTCGCACCCCACCACGCCAGTCACGCCCATTCTCCCCTGTTGGAGCACTCCTCCACTATCATGTGTGTGTTGTGCTTTTGTTGTGTCTTGCTCCTGTGACTGCGTGTCCTATACTGTTGGGCCTGCTGGGTATGTGTGTGTGTTCTGTCTTCGTTTTGAGTGAGTTATCACTCACAACTCACACAACTCACTCAAAACGAAGACAGAACACACACACATACCCAGCAGGCCCGACAGTATAGGACACGCAGTCACAGGAGCAAGACACAACAAAAGCACAACACACACATGATAGTGGAGGAGTGCTCCAACAGGGGAGAATGGGCGTGACTGGCGTGGTGGGGTGCGACGTAGTGATGTGGTATCCTGAACAGTTTTAATATTTTTAACGTTTGACAGTGTATATGATAGATGCATATTTTGGTTATTTTAATGTGAGAACAAGGCATGCAGTGAACTAGTTTGGCGTGGATAAGTAAGCACCTGAGGATGGCATTATTATGCCGAAACGTGTAGTGAGAGGGAGAGAAGGAGATAAATGAGTGTATGCACTACAAGACGGTTTAAATAAATCATGGTCTTCACAGGTATTCTACGAACTTCCCGTCGCTGTTACTTAAACACACTCTAATACTCTCAAATACTCCAAAATACTGGCTAATGCCCTCCAAATACTGCCATCTGTTCAAAGTCAAAGTCAAAGTCAAAGTTACTTCACGACTGGCGGTTTAACACCAAGAAGTTCATCTTGGCATGAGGCCCCCTGAGGCCCAAGACCAGAGATTTTTTCCAACTGAACTCTTGCAGAAATAGTCCTTATGTAACATCCTTTCTGACGAGAAGAAGGAGTTTGTCTCTTACGAATACACTTAGCTTTTCATCAAGTGTATATTTCAGACATATAACATGTTATTGAAAATTCTTCCTTTTGCGATACACATAAGTCCTCTGTCAGTATAGGCTTTGCAGAGCAGATCATTTTTAACTTACATATCTTACGCTACAATAACAATTTAGTCATTTGAACAGTCGCAAGTTTGACCACCCTCTAGTTCAAGCCTCTTATATTTTCTGTGTCTGGCTTCACCTTGTCCTATACTGTCGTGACCCAAGATGGTGGCGGGTCGACTGAATTATGTTGGCCGAGCGGTAGCGTAATAATTCAGTGATGGTGATGGTCAGTTGGCTGCTGGAGCGGGTATTCCAACCACAAAGAGCAAATACTCACTACAGATAATAGAGGTTTTATTGATTCTTAGTGTATATTACATACAAGCGCTGGTGGACGTAAGCCTGGCCAGCCTTCTCATAGCCTCGACCCAGACAAAATGCACCCTTCAACTTTCCTCTTCTTCTTAAAACCTATCTAAAACTAAACTTGCAGACCAATGTCCCGAGACATGAACCCTCACGCAGATCAGATTACACCAGCTGCTGTTGAAGGATAGGTCCCAGACGAAACACTCCAGGACCCCACTAATTTATGGAATAGCAAGGGTAGATATAACATTTTTTCTTTGAGGAAGCAGGTCAACCTCTTGGCGTGCTGTAAATTTAGTAGAGGGCATGACCCCAGACATCAGACTCAAGTTCCTAAAATTAAAAAACGTAAAAAGGGTTGCGAACCCCGCAACAATACCGCGAACATGTTCATTCTCATGATTTTGTATGACCTTTGCTTGTCGCCTACACAGTTGTCATCTGTTCTCTCTGTAATTGTCGTTATATAGCATCCGCACTGACCACACAGAAAAGAAGCCTACATTGCTAGAACGTGTTTACTGACCAATTGCACTGCAAGATTGCAATATAGACTTCACAAAAAAAAGGCCCCACTCCAATTGTTGCCTTGCGTGTATTCGGTCGTGAGGTGTTTCGAGGTCAGTTACCTAGCAATGCTGTGTCCATCCACATTACAATATTTTGGAACCAGTGTAACCTGCTCATGAATTTGTAATGAGTTTAAACCAAATTTATAAAATCACTTAAAAATTATATTTGTCTTGTGAGCTAGAAACAACTTTAAGCAACTTCATATTTTGCACGATGACATCCTTGCTAATGTAAATACTTTTCCACAGATGAGTGTACCCATTGTCACGTTCAAACTTCCATAATTAATCTGCATGATGGGAGATAGGGTACGATTAATTTCAGGAAAAAAAAATATCTTCTGCAGTTCTAATCTGACCTGCCATTGTGGTGTGTGGAGTATTATTACCATTATCCAAGTCAGGCTAGTAAAATTGATCCTCTATTTTCTGAGGACTTCCTTTATATACATGAATTTGACGTGTGCATGATCAGTTATCTGGTGGAAGGAAACATATTTGCAATTATGTACCACATTATGGTACATTGGCTTTTGGTCCCACTGCTCTGTTTCACTCACCTGGCAGATCTTGAATATTCTTGTGTCAATTTGTTACAAGTGCAGAGGAGTACCACATCTTTTGATCAGGAAATTGATCTCGTAATATGGAGTAATTTTTGCCAGGCAATCAGGGCTGAACACTTGCTGTCTCAGGCCTGTGGCCAAAACATAGCAAAAAACAGAAAAAGTTCATGCATTAATGAATAAGAGAATTTTTTTAATTTATGAATTACTGTTTTGGTTCTTTGTTCATGAAATTGATCCTGTTCATTGCATTCATGCAAGAAATAGTACCTGGATCCAGTTCTTGTGTGCTACCTTCAGCCAGTGATTGCCAGGCAATCAAGGCTGAAAGCTTGCTGTCCCAAGCCTGTGGTCAAAACTAAACAAAAACAAAGGAAGTGCATGCATTAATGAATAAGAGAATTATTAGATTTATGAATTACTGCTTTGGTGGACCTCATAACTCATTGTAGGTACTTTCTGTCTGCAGTTCTGGGAGGTCATCTCTGATGAGCATGGTGTTGACTCAACTGGCGCCTACCATGGTGACTCCGACCTCCAGCTTGAGAGAATAAATGTCTACTACAATGAAGCATCCAGTGGAAATTATGTACCACGTGCCATAATGGTGGACCTTGAACCTGGCACAATGGACTCTGTCAGATCCGGGCCTTTCGGTCAAATTTTCACACCTGACAACTTCGTTTTTGGTCACAGTGGAGCTGGCAACAACTGGGCTAAGGGTCACTACACTGAAGGTGCTGAGCTCGTTGATTCTGTGTTGGATGTTGTAAGGAAAGAAGCGGAAAGATGTGACTGTCTGCAGGGTTTCCAGATGACCCACTCATTGGGAGGTGGAACTGGTTCTGGCTTGGGCACATTGCTTCTTTACAAGATCAGAGAGGAATACCCAGATAGGATAATGAACACATTCTCTATTATACCTACACCAAAAGTTTCAGACACTGTTGTTGAACCTTACAATGCAACATTGTCTGTCCATAAGCTGATTGAGGCAACGGATGTAACATGCTGCATTGACAATGAGGCCCTCTTTGATATTTGCTTCAGGACACTGAAACTGATGACTCCCACATATAGTGATCTGAACCATCTAATATCCCTCACAATGTCTGGTGTGACCACTTGCCTCAGGTTCCCGGGTCAACTGAATTCTGATCTCCGTAAACTTGCTGTCACTATGGTCCCATTCTCACGTCTACACTTCTTCATGCCGGGTTTCGCTCCTCTCACCTCCCGTGGTAGTCAACAGTACCAAGCTCTCACCGTACCTGAACTGACTCGACAAATGTTTGATGCAAAGAATATGATGGCTGCCTGTGACCCAAGGCATGGACGTTACCTCACAGCTGCTTCTATCTTCCGAGGACGCATGTCCATGAAGGAAGTTGATGAACAGATGTTGAACATTCAGAACAAGAACAGCAGCTACTTCGTTGAGTGGATCCCAAACAATGTGCAAACCGCTGTGTGTGATATTCCACCCAGAGGACTCAAAATGTCTGCAACCTTCATTGGTAACACCACTGCCATCCAGGAGGTGTTCAAGCGTATCTCAGAGCAGTTCACAGCCATGTTCAATCGCAAGGCTTTCTTGCACTGGTATACAGGTGAAGGCATGGATGAAATGGAATTCACTGAAGCAGAATCAGACATGAATGACCTGATGTCTGAGTACCAGCAGTACCAGGATAACATTTTCAATGTGTACACAGAGCCTGACGAGGAGCTAGAATTTGATGTTGAGGACATGGATAAAATTTGATTCACAGAAGCCGAATTAAACATACTCAAATGAGTACCAACAGAACTACCAGACAGATGTCAGTATGGACGGAGAGTTTGACGAGTAGCAGAAAGTTGAGGTTGAAAATGACAATTAAACAGCTAGAATGTCATTTTTTGCTTTGTTATAATACTTTGTTCTCTCTCTCTCTCATTCCAAATTTATTGCTGCATTAATGATTTTCAGTCAGAATAATGCAGTGATATTGCTTGCGCTGAACGGATAGAAAATTTGTGTATAATATTTGAAATATTCTGAATGATATACCATATTTGTTGGAAGAATATTGTGTGACTGAAAATGGATATGCTCCACTAATGGGAATGTTGGAGTTGATTTGTTTGCTTAGGATTATTTGTTTTTTTCCTTTGTAATTGTCTCCCTATTCATTTATAAATTTGTATGTTCTGTGTTTTCTGGATAGAATTAAAAACAGTGCAAAATTTTATATTTGTTTTATTGACACTTCGATCCCTTTTTTTTATTCATGAGTTATTTTGCTTGAAGCTGATTATGTGTCTCATCCTATATCACAGATATGTTACAGGATGTAGTGTTGCAAGCTAAGGAAAACGTTCAATTGGTACTGTAACTGCACCATTGCCATACACCCATTTAAATGTAATTATGTTTATTAGTTAGAAATTTAATTGTTCCACAGTGGGATGCAATTAACAAGTTAGTGAGACATAGGCCTATTCTTGCATGTAAGAGTTAGCTTATTCTTGCACGTGCAGTAGAAAGGAAGAAACCCTGTGGATATTTCTTAGAATTTTAGCTTGAAAGTGTAACTGCGGCAGTCTTTGAGAATTCGATACTTGACAGCTTGTGCAGATCGTAACTTAATGAAGGGAGTTTCCATAACCCAAGCCAAGCTTAACATTTGTCAAGTTTCTGACAGAAAGTACGTTAGGTCTTAGAAGCCTAAATTCCTTGTAATCCCTAAACGGATTGGAAGAATAGTTAATTAAGGTACTCCTATTTTTCAAATGTGACCAATCACTACAATTTAAGGATGTGGAAATGCCAAGAAGCTGATGGACCAAGGACCTCGCCATTCGAAAGGAAGTCAGTTGTCGGCTCTTGTAGAGATCAGACGTAAAACTTGTGTTAGTTACACACCGGCTCTTGGTATACAAAAGAAAACTTATGATATTCACTTGAAAGTTATAAATAGTAAGAATACAAGCAAAAAGTGTTGTACAATATTATATTTAAGCATCCTGTTGCACTCTATATGATATGACATAAAACACCGTCCCAAGTGCAACAATTTATTGTAGTTCTTTTGTCTTGCCCTCTTCTACACTACAAGTTTCGGCCGCAGACGGCCATCATCAGGTGTATGCACTTATGTAGCTGTTACACTGCATCTAGTTTAAAATTTAAAACCATAAGACTTCACAATTGTTCTTTTCGTCGTTACCAACAGGTTTCGATTTATCAGAATCTACTTCGCTGGTATCTGTCTGCTTTGTGCATTATCTTTTTTGCCTACACTCGTCAATTTTGTTATTATGAACTGGCACTTTTAAAATCTTCAGTTCTAATTTAAAATTCTTTTAAAAATTAAAATTCTCAGGGTTACTCGCCCTATGTCTGTAGTGCTGCAGTGGCTACTTCTTGTTTTCAGCACTGTTATTCTGTGTAGGCTCCCTGTGTGCGGCCGCTGCTTATCTTTGCTACGTGTGCACATGTAAACAAGAAGAGGCTGCTGCAGCACTACAGACATAGGGCGAGTAACCCTGAGAATTTTAATTTTTAAAAGAATTTTAAATTAGAACTGAAGATTTTAAAAGTGCCAGTTCATAATAACAAAATTGACGAGTGTAGGCAACAAAGATAATGCACAAAGCAGACAGATACCAGCGAAGTAGATTCTGATAAATCAAAACCTGTTGGTAACGACGAAAAGAACAATTGTGAAGACCTGTGGTTTTAAATTTAAACTAGATGCAGTGTAACAGCTACGTAAGTGCATACACCTGATGATGGCCATCTGCGGCCGAAACATGTAGTGTAGAAGAGGGCAAGACAAAAGAAGTACAATAAATTGTTGCACTTGGGACGGTGTTTATGTCATATATCAAAAAGTGTTGTGCTTCAAAGATATATAAATACAAAGTCAAACAAGTTGCAAGAAACATTAGATTGTGTAACAAAGGGCATAAATGTTTAACAATAAACCATCAAAACTTGATATGTGTGTGTGCCGACTAATTGAGCTAAAGTTACTGATTTCGGAGTTTGTATTAAAAAGTGGCACAACGTAAGTGTTCAACAATAATAAACCAGTTAAACTTGATGTACTTGTGTAGCTTTTAGTTCATTCCTGCTTCTCGGAGTTGAGGCCCGTTAAAGGCTCTGAGAAAAAGAGACCCTCAGCTATACCGAATCAACAAACCTCACCTCCTTGTAAAATAAAAACAACCCTGGGATAATTATTAGCAAAGTAAAAGAGGTATCTACAAAGTAGCGCCCAACATAAAGGCCAGTAAATGAGCGAGTAAAAAGTGGTAAAAAGAGTCATCACAAAGTGGCCCAAACGTAAGGGGCCAGTGAGTGAGTGAGTGAGTGGAGGGTGCAAAACGATTACAGTGCAGCAGTACATTTTCTTTTCTCTCCTTTCTATAAAGCCATCATATGTATACTTAGCTCTTGAAAATCACTTAAATAATTGATTATGATATTTTCAGTTACATTAGAACGTTTTTAAGATTCTGACTTTGACTATTGTTTAGTGATTGCAGAGTGAACTGAAAATTTTGCAATACTGGTATGAGTAATATTGCAAGTAAGTACATTGGAGTGGTTTCTTTACCGCACAGATTTTCAATATATGCACTACTAAATATGAGAATATACTGGAAATATTTGGGATCTTGTTACTTGGCAGTTACATTCTTCAAGTTGTGAGGGATTTCATCAAGAAGACTAACCTCCTGCAGTGTGTGTACTAAAAATACCTGGTTGCATACAAACTCTTCCTTGGTCGACATCCAGATTTTTTCACACATTTATCATACATAATCTGCAGAATTTGCGATAAATGTGTATATATATTCAATAAGTCCTGGCTCGTGAATGAGTTATGCCCAGTGGTGTAACTCACATGGTTTATTTTGGTCACTTAGGTATCATTTTAATTATTGTATTGGCGTTTTACTCAGGTTTGTCTAGTAGAGTTAGGATGGTGTACCTTTCAGTCTTAAGTATTTGGTATTCTACTTTTTTATTTCTCTGAGCACTGTGTTCATTTGTAGATTTTCATTGATCCTGTGGTTGTCCATGTACCAACATACATTCAGAATGGATCAGAGAGTCCTGGATAGAAAGTACTGCATGATTTCAATGTTGGAATTAGAGGCTGTCCCCCATAGCTGAATTTCATAGGTCCATATGGGTTTGAGCACTGCTTTATACTCATATAGGAGGAGTTTACTTTCTACTGAAAATGCTGATCTTCCAAGTAGCCAGTGCATTTATTTTGTATCTAGATGAAGCTGTTTTCGTTTTGTTTTGACGCGCTTTGACTGTGTCAGTCTTCTATTGAGATGCATGCCCAGGGATTAGAATTAATTTTTCTGGGTTACACAAACATTAACCTTTTGCATTGTTGGACAGGTTTCATTGCATAGGCTTGTGGGATTGTCGATGTTGTGAAAGACAACCACATAAAACTGTAGCAATTGTATATATTAAATCATATAAATTGAATGTACAGAATCGCTGCGAAGCTATGTGAAATGTTGATGTTCAAAAGTTGGCTGGCCCTGAAAAGGGCAGATTGTTCCACCGTGAGTGCGCTGGCAGAATTTTCTCCTTTGTAGTAGACCAGGTCTTTATGGCCGTTCAGCTGGTTTGTCCAGCCGGTGATTTGGTGCTGCATGCGCCGGTAGAATCAGCTGCCTACGGTGCAAGAGATGACTGAGCCGTTGTCTTGGCTCGGTAGCTGGAGCTGCGGCAGCTACATTACGTGTCTGGTAGCAGAGCGTGGTTATTGGAGAATTGTGGCAGTTGCGTTAGCTGTCTGGTAGCAGAGCACGGTTGCTGGAGAGGTGCGGCAGGTGTCTTTGGCGCACTGATAACTGCAAAGTCGAAGTCATGTCGCAACTGACGGTCAACGTAAGGGGCCGTCTTAGTGTCGAGCCCCAGTTGGGGCTCATGACCAGATGTTTTCTTCTTTGTGAAAGTTGCTGTCCTGTCCATTTGTGGCGCCCTCTCTGAGGAGAGCTCGGGTCTGTCATTTGTCAGCCCTAGTCAGTCCACTGTCAGAATTGACATATATTTACAATGTAGTTCTAGTCTTAATTCCTATTTCTATGTACAATATATACAATGCGTCTGTCAATCCAAGCTTCGTACACCAGATTATGCCCTATTTCTAGTATTATTTGCTACCATGGTAGTCTAGTCACTTGAACATACGTACTCGTATGCCTGACCGCCGCCAAGTTTAAGCCTCTTATACTTTCTATGTCGGGCTTCACCTTGACCAATAATGTGAACATTCTCATTTTCATGATTTTGTATGACTTCTGCTTGTTGCCTGCATAATTTTGTTATGTAATCATATACGTGTGGAATTTTGAATGCCACGTGCAAATCGCGGACCAGTGTGCGCCTTGGAAAATTGCCAATGGTGCAGAGAACCTTGTTTTGTAGGCACTGCAATTTCACTAGATGGGTGTCTTGCCACAAACTCCCAGGCGGGACTAGCATAAATCATTACAGATCTAATAAGAGCTTTGTGGAGGGTCAGTTTAATGTTAGCACTC